TTCAGTTCAAAGCTTAGTAATTCACATGTCTAAATTTATTCCAATTTTATTCCAAATAAATCTATATTTGTAACTTGCTGACAAATCTTTTTTCTTTCCTTTTAAATGCTGTCTTTGACACTATAGAAAAAACTGCATATTTAGCATTTTTTACATGTATGTGTGTGTGTTTGAAACTGGATTTTATATGCACCTGCATTCTGTTCTAAGTAGCTTTTAAGGTTCGGAATTGACCTAATTCAGATGCTGTTGAATTACACTGAAACAGTCAAGGAGCAAGATTAGATGAGTATGTCATTATGAGTTCTCATCAGTGAAGTCTGCATTAAAATCAATGTTGAGTTGTTTGTTTTTGTTCTGTTCTGGTTAACTATCATTTTTCATGCTTTTACTCATGCACTCATTATAATCTGAGAAAGATGCTCACTGTGGAGTCTTTGAAAATAGAAATAGACCTATAGGAAATTTTATTGGCATCAGGTGAAAGGAAGAGGTTGTGGGAGAAGAGCAAAGATGGAAATTGATCAGGCAGTCATGTAGACCTCTATTAGACTGTTTTCTGTGGCATGAAAAAGTATCCTTTCCTTAAAGGATTAACCTGTGTGCGTGTCTGTTTATGCGAGATGCAGGGAAGCCAACATAATGTTAAGGTTTCATAAATCTGTCTATGGAATATTTCAGAAATGTTTTAAAACCAGCTTATTGTGAAGATGTTTTCTAGATTTGCAATGTATGAACAAGTGTCCATTTTATAGATACATGTAGTGCATTGAGAGGAGTATTGGTCGTGTTACAGGGGCATATATCTAAACCTTGTCTATGTGAGCATCCTTGTACTCTCACCATTCAGTTTTATTCTCCAGCTTTCTCTGGTATCTTCTTTCTGGTATCTCTTGATTCTTTAAATTATTAATGTCATTAAAATTTATAATATTCTGTTATTACCTCTAGGAAAATAGAGATTGTAATGTGAAACATAATTGTCTCATTTTGCAATTTGTGTTATGATAGTTGGGCACAAATAGAGCAAATTTAAATATTCCCCTGAGCAATGTGGCTAGGTATTACAATCTAACTCAAGTTCTTAATGTGCAGATAAATAAATAGATACATGCATGCCACAAATTCTTGAAGAGTGATCTCTGTCATTAATGTGCCACAAGAACAGAAAACAGTGTTTGTAGGAATACTCCTTCAGTGCTGAGTTGGATGTTGAGAACAACTAATAGCCTGAGGTCTACTAATAGTCAGATTTACACTGATGTCTGCTTACCAAAATATTTAGGTGCTACCTGAATTATTTAGACTACTCACATTCTGTCCCTTAGTGGAGAAAAACTCCAGCACATGTATACAAGAACATCCTTTATTTTTCAGAAAAATGCTCTCTTTCCATCCTAATTCAAGAAATTCAAAACTTATAGGTTTGACTGCAACTTGCTATTTGAGGTGCTAGCCAATAGTTAGGCTCCTTTCCTTCCTTAAAGCATACCCCTGAAGCAAAGCAAAAACTGCCATCTATATTAATATCAGTAACAGTAACAGTCAGTAACATCAAGGGATCACGAAAGCCAGAAAGTGGGCACTTAGTATGGGATTTTGTAAGATTTTGCAAACCAATCAATAAAATCCATTTAGAATGCAGTTGTCCACACATAGTATTGGAAGATAATTAGTGTGCCGTCTTGTGATGTGTAATGATCCATGATCAAGATTGGAAATTTGGAGCATAGTTGCTTATAAAGGTTTAGGACTGAATTAAATGGCTTGCTGAGTTGTCACAGAAAATTTGGGTCCCCAGTTGTTCAAGGGAAGCCAGTAGTCAGTTGCAGTCTGTTTGTATTTCAGCAAAGCTTTCAACAGTGTTTCCTCACAATATCAACGTAGACAAAACATCCAGTGTGTAGCAAAGCAAAATCATAATGCAGGGAGTGAACAGTTGGCTGAAGGGTTGAGCTCAAAGGGTTATTGTGAATGGGGTTACATCAAGCTGGTTTCCAGACTGTGATGGCATTCTGCAGGGCTTCATTTTAGAGGGCCAAATCTCTTTAATATTTTCGTCAACAGCTTGCATGAAGTACTCAAAGGTATACTAAGTAAATCTGTAGATGACACTGAATTGAGAGGAACTGCTAGTTCCTCAAGGGCAGAGAGGCCTTGCACAACAAATTTGTCAACTGGGGGATTAGTGTGATTTTTTAAAAGGAGCAAGTTTCAGATTTTGCATCTAGGATTGGACACACCTGTGTAAATATCTGTACAGATTGGGGAATGAGAAGCAGGAGAGCAGCCCCATGGAAAGGGATCTGGGGGTTCTGATTGATGGAAGTTGAACATAATTGAGCAGTGTGCTCTGGCACACTCCAACTTGGGATATTCTATGATCCTGTGATGTCATATACAGGGGGGGAAAAAAAACAGGTTATTTTTTAAAAATTAACTAGATAAGTAGAATTTAATTATAAGATCAGTGTGAAATGTTCCTTTCCTCCGTGACTCCAAGACCTAGGACAATATACAGATTACTTGCTGTTATCCTGGTAGATATAAATGTAGTCAGAGCACAGGTGACCTTTAAAGCTTCACATGCTGCTGAGCCAGAATCAGAGTGTTTCTAGAAATGAACCCCCAGGATATGCCAACACCACATGAGGGGGAGACCTGTGGCCATGACACTGGTCCAGGGAAATGCATCTGCTGCTGAGCAGGATGGCATGTCCTGTTGCTGTCCTCGATTCACACAGGCACACACCACTATTCTGCTCTAGGAGCTGCCCAAGATGCCCTGTACCCCAAGATGCCCTGTACCACACTGCTTGCGGTCTACCAGGGATCGTGTTGTACAGCTTGGAACGGTTTGTAGTTAGCCTTAGTTTCTAGAGCATTAGCTCTGAAACGTAGTCACGCACAGACCCTTTTTTTCTGCAACAACTTTTTTTACTGTCCTTTTAAATTTCAAAAATGGAATCCTGTTTCTAAAACGAGCAGATCATTTGCTGGTATTAATGGTAATCAGATGTAATGTTGTTGCCCTAGCATTACATATAGAACTAAGGTATTGAAGCCTCTAGCTGCTGCCAGCTGTCTACACAGGAAAAGGTAGCACTTTGAGATTTGATTTAGCCCAGTTATGTTCTGAGTCTCTTAGAGTGACTAGGCTCTTTTGTTCAGGATTCACTTGATGTGCATAGCTGAGTGTGAACGATGTGAATTAATGTACCTAGGAGAACCATCCTGCTCTGAGTCAAGCATTTTGATGCAGGTTATGGTATGTCTTAAAAAATAAGAAACATTCATGACATGGGTAGAATGCAAAATACAGGTGGCATGAGTTGAATTATGGATGATTACTTTTTTTCAAAAAGTATCCTCTGTTTCCAGTCATTCAGTCTGTGTTTCCCTACCACCTCTAGGGGGTGATGAGTTAAAGGTATTGCATAAAGCTGGTTCTCCCTCAGACCACAGTGGGAGAAGCTTAGACACAGTATGTGGCATTAACACCCTCAACACCAGAGAAAAGAAATCCAGGGCTGGTTTCTGGAGGGACTATGTAGAGCTCAAGGCAATTCTGTGGTGATCTTCTACAGAGTTATGAAGTCTCAGAGTCTTTTTACTTCTGTTGGTGTATGTTTTCTGTATTTACTTCACACTGTTGTTAACACAATGAATTTTACCTTCTACGAAGTTAAAAATTCGCATTCCTTAAAAATGATGGAAAATCAGCAAAGAAGAACTGAGCCAAAGCTACAATACTAGTCAGCCGTTACAAGTAATTATGATAACCCCATGGTCACTTCACTCTCAGCTTGACAGAAAAAAATGTCAAGAAAGCAAAATAATTTTTCTCAAACGCTGAAAATACAGCATCAGCTTCACTTCCCCTGATGGCACATTGCAAGATGTAAGCCTTGGTGTCAAAACAGGGCAAGTCCATTGATACGAATTGCTGGCTGCTCTCTACTCTGAGGTACTGAGAGCAGCCCTGTGTGAGCTTGGCCATGAGCTGGCCCAGCTGTGCAGGTTGCACAGCCAGCTGATGTTGGAGATTGACTGACGGGACGTGTGAGGCTGCTGGTGGCAGTGGTAGGGAGCTCGGCTGTAAAGCCTTCTCTGTGAAGGATGTCTGAAGGGAGGAATACAGACAGTGGTGCTGCAGCCTGTTGTTCCTCGTGTGGAAGGAATCTCCATGGCAGCTGATAGCCATTGCAGGCTGCGCAACTGTTATGATTTCAGGATCAGCTAAACCCATAATTTTCAAATTATTTGTTTTAAGGGTAAGAAAAGAGGTTTTTGTTTGTTTAGGTATGGAATACTGAGTAGAGCATATATTTGAGTTGGCATCAGTTGCAACATAAGAGCAGTAGATGAACACTCTGTCCCTTGTCACGAATTTTCTTTCTATCTTATCCCAAATATTTCTCTGTGCAGTACTTTATATTCTTAACTGTGTCCATCCCTTCCATGAAGCTTCCCAGCTTTCTGATTTTGTAATATCGATTACTTCAAAAGACTTGATTGAGTCATTATTATAAGGATTAGTCTGAAGAAATAATTTAATGTTCTTCCGGGAAAGATGTTCTCACAACATTGTTCTCAGAGGTGGGGGCTGTATTTCTTAAAGGTGGCTACATTTTGTATTTGTTGTTTTGTTTTGAGGCTGTAGTGAGGTTCTATTCTGTCTGTATACATTTCTTGTTCCTTACCTTGAGATCTATTGATTCTATTTTTGTGCTTTTTCCTATGAGGAACTACTTCCACAGTATGATAATATTTCCAGAATAGATGGTGCTATGTTAAGCTGTTTTCTTTATTTCAGATAGCACGTTTAAAAATGCTGTTATTAAACATAAAAAAAACTTTTTGTTCTAGACAAAACTTGTGCATCTGTAACTTTTGATTCTTCCTTTGTTTGCTTAAAAACATTTTTTGAACAATGTTAGATATATATTAAAACGTCTGCACAAGTCTTTGTTTCTAAAATACTATGTTTCCATTCACAGGAAATCACTGATAATGAAATATTAGAGTTGGTGCATAGTGCCCTTGGGAGGATGACAGTTATCCGGCAGATTTTCCCTCTCTCAAAGGACAATAATCAGAGGTGCATGAGGAACAATCACCGAATATCATCACTGCTCTGTGATCCACAGGAAGGCTATCTTCAGATGCTGCAGGTCAGTAGCTACGTTCAGCAGAAAAGTCCATTTCAGGAATTCAATGTGAGATAGTTTTCTGTTACTGAATTACCTCAGAGGAAAAATAAAATGAATACAGATAAATCTGTGCATGTAGTTTTTGCTCAGTTATTCCTGATTTAATTTTTTATTTCTTTTTTGCAGAACAAAGTGTTTTAGATATAATGTTATGTCCATAAAGCGCTAGAAATCAGTTGTACTAACCCAAAGATGATTTTGGGTATGCCTTCCTTTTATGAATCTTCTTCTATGTGAAGAAAAAAAAAAAAACAACGTGTGTCATCATAGTTTTCTGGCATTACTATTTTTTTTATTATATTTATTCCTCAGATATCTGATACAAAAGAATTAATCTTGAGCATAACGGAACTTTGATATGTATTGGGCTGTGGAGCGCATCATATTTAGTTAAATGGACTGAGTGCAGTTGGTGTATTCAATCTGTCCCATTTCAATAGTCTCAGAAGTCTCCAGCAGCTGGTAATTGTTAGAGCATATGAAATATGCACCACTGGTTTGAGTTCCAGATTTTGGTAACAGATTTCCTAGAGCATAATTGATTGAGTTGAAAGGGACCATTAAAGGTCATCCAGTCCAACTCCCCTGCAATAAACAGGGACATCTACAGCCAGATCAGATTTCTCAAAGCCCTGTCCAGCCTGACCTCGAGAGTCTCCAGTGATGGCACCTCTACCTCTCTGGGGAACTTTGTTCCAGTGCTTCGCTATCCTTATTATAAAAAAATAAAAAATAAAAAAAATAAAAGAAATTAAAAAAATTCTTATGTCTATGTCTTCCCTCTTTTAGTTTGAAACTGTTTTTCCTTGTCCTGTCACAGCAGACCCTGCTAAAGGGTCTGCCACCTTCTTTCTTCTAGCCCCCTCTTAGATATTGAAGGTCTCTCTGGAGACTCTCTCTTCTCCAGGCTGAACAGCCCCAGCTCTTAGCCTCTCCTCATAGAGAGGTGTTCCATCCCTTGGATCATTTTTGTGGCCCTCCTTTGGATATACTCACATTGCTCCTGTACTGAGGACTCCATGTCTGAACTCAATACTTCAAGTGAGGTCTCACCAGCACAGAGGGGCAGGATCACCTCTCCCAACCTGCTGACAATGCTTCTTCCGGTGCAGCCCAGGATATGACTGGCTTTTTAGGCTGCGAGGGCACATTGCTGGCTCATGTTCAGCTTGTCATCCACCAGTACTCCCAGGTCCTTTCTGACTGGGCTGTGCTCAATACAGCTTTTCCTCCCACTTGTATTGATAATGGAGGTTACTGTGACCCAGGTGCAAGACCTTACACTTGGATTTATTCAACCTCACGAGATTCTCCTGAGCCCTTGCTCAAGCCCATCGAGGTCATTCTGGATGGAAACCTCAGGCATATCAACAGCACCACGCAGATTGGTGTTACCCCCAAACTTGCTGAGGGTGCACTTAATCCCACTGTTGATTATTAAGGAGCATCGGTCTCAATACAGACCCCTGAAGGATACTACAATGATTTTACTCTGGCATAGGCAAAATCTCCAGATTTATCCCAGATATCAGAATTTTTCTTGCAGTAATTTAAGCTTAAACAGTTTCAATTGGTATTTCCAGTCATAGTGCAATAATTTTGAAACACAGATCTGGGGCTTTCAGTGGCGCTCTACGTGTTTCTAGTTTACTTTAGACAATTTAAGAATCTCCTCTATAGTATAGTACAAGCTGCTGGACAAAAAGGAGAACTTTTGGTAGATTGAGCATATAAGCTTGGTGACACACTCCAAGCAAATATTGCAAATGTAATTTTAACCTGGGATAGTATAAATATGCAGAGGTCTAGTCTATGAGTCAACAAGCATAGGTATTGTGTGAGTGAGTCAATTTAGGGCTTGGTAAGGCTGTGGGGAAGGGGCTGCCTGCAGTCTGGGCTGCTGCAACCCGGTCAGGAAGGGTGTCCTTGCTAGTGGGTAACATTTTGGATTAGAGCTTCAGCAGGGAAAACGTGAGGCTTATGGGAAGCCAGGAAAGTAGAAAAAGTCCTAGGATGAGAATTGTAAAGGGGGAAGATTTTCAATGGAACAGGAAATGGAGATGTTTGTTTTACTTATTTGTGCTCTTCTAATGAGTTGTAGTTGCAGAGACTGAAATCCTTCAAGAGAAGGTGTGTGGGCATTTTCTCCTCAAAAAGAGCCTCTGCCTGACTCAGATTCTGTCACAATGGGTTTGATCCCAAAGTTTGGGAAATTCCAGCTGCATAAATTGTATCTCTGAGCACTGGTCTGCTCTTTCTGCACTGGGGAAAGTCTATGCCTGTCTTTTCATAGAAAGAAAAGACACTCAATGTTTGATAGCAATCAAAAAGAAATGCTGTAAGGAGAGCAAAGGTCAGTCATTTCAGAGGATCAGAACTATTTCCATTATGCTGAAAAAAGTGATGTAGCCTGCACCAAAAATCACTTATTGGGGGACAGTTTTACCTTACAACAGGATTTTGAGTATTTCTGACTGAGCTAGCTTATGCATGATGTAATTCAGAGAGTCATCCAAAGAGCTCTGGCAGACTTCTCTGAGGAAGTTATTTGCTAAACCAGTAATTGGTTTGCTGGCTTGAATAGCCTCACAGTCTATTACAGAAGTTCACTGACAAAAGACCCTTTAGGAATCTAAATACTCTTTCTACTATTTCACAAATGTGGGTTTAGAGAAGTAACACATCTTCAGCATTCTTATTTCTTGTCTTTCAGAAATACTGTGCTACCTTAGAAACAGTCATTAAGAGAATGGAAAAGTAATGTTATTCTTTGCCCATTAGTTCTTAGAAACAAGAAAGAGGTGCAGAGGTGTATAGTTAGCTTTGTGGAACTTGATTCTATAATTTCCTTGTCCAGTCGTGCTGAAATGTAATATCATGGGCACTGAAGAGCACTGTATACTATTACCAGTTTCTCAGATAAACTGCCCTATGTCTTATGTTATCTTTAGGTTTCTACTAATTGAATATAGGATGCTCTAAGCATGTGCAATTATGTCTGAAGCATTCTGTATCTTTATTTTGTTTAGACATTGTCTAAACATGTTATATAACATCTTGTTGGGAATAGAGCTTATATTCATTTCTCAGTATGATTGACATATTATTAATGGTTCTGTAATTCAGGTACTTTCAATCTATTTCCCTTTTCTTGCTTAAAAAATAGTTTTGACCTTTTGCTGTACAGAAGTACATCACTAAATTACCCGTGTTGCCAAAGGCAGCGGTAGCTCCTAGCTCTGTGTCAGACTGCGTGAATCCACCAGAGGCAGTGACTACCTGCCAGCGCTGAGTCGTTGTGTTGCTTTGAAGTAGTTTGATTAACCACAGTTTGAAAATCCCTGGCTCGTTTTCCCTTGGGCAATTTCAAATTAATAATTCTTTGTTGTCAAGGTTACTTACCAGCTATTGTTAGTTAATTATTTATTTAACGACTTTGAAGGCGAATAAGCTAAATTCTGCCAGCCTCTAGCTGTAAGATGTTTAGGAGAGAATTTAGCATTTTTAACAACCTAGTAAAGAAAGAAACATTTACATCCAAGACTATTAACTTAGTTCTGGTTAAATTAACAAAAGTCTTTTTGGAACAATTTTGTTCACGGTGTCTTTTGTACCATATCCTGGAAAGTTGTTTTTCAGTGGGTGATCATGTTGGCATTTTGATAAAGCTTTTAAAGATCAGGCTGTTCTGCAAGCTTATCCAATACCTCACCTATTCTGAAGGCTTTGTGGAAATACAATCTTGCTCCATCAACCCACCTGTCACAGTTTTGCTCATGCCCTTATTTCTTGCACGTATTATCAATTGGGTTTCTTCTTCAGAAGTCTTCGTAAGGTTTTCATCTTGGTCATTCTATTTGAATTCAGAGGTCTATGTTAATCTTTGATTGATTCTTCATATGTGATTTCCCGTCCCTCTTCTACTTTTTATAAATGGTAAGGACTCTTCAGTGCTTGCTGTTTTTCAGAGGCAATGAGTATCCTGTAATTTCGACCATCAGAACTCTCATTATTGCATCTACAGGAGAAAGTATACTGAAGCACTTTAGGATTTATAACAAATCCTGTTCATCTCAGATATGCCCTTTCCATATCTCTCTATGGCACTGCAATGATGTTTACTAGGATTACCACTAATGAAGTTTTTAGATTATTTCAAAGCTAGATTTTTGAAGATCACTCTTTCTTCTTCAAGATTATTCATGGTGCGTTAGGTTAAAAAATCAGAATTTTTTTCTTGTTATGTTTTTGAAGAAACATTTCAGAAATCTGGTTTCCATTCTGGTTACCTTCATCCCTTATTTGCTGTTTACTGTTCATAAGTTCAATTTATGTGAGAATCTGTCTATAGTAAAATATATTAATGGGCACAGGGTATTTGAAATTGTTTAACCAAATATTTAACCAAATTGGACCAAATATATATAGTAGGATTTGAAAATCAAAAAGAAGAAAACTCCAGCAAACTGTGTCACAAAAATAACGAGGCTATTCCTAAAAGGATTAAATATCTTGCCTCTCTACTGAAGAACTATTCCTGGTGTGGTTTGACATATTTGAAGATGCAGAGAAGTGTAGGAGGATATTCCTTGAAACATCTATACTCTTCTTTCCATGTCATTCTTCAAAGACTTGACCGTGAGATATCTTTGGAGGCATCTCTTAGCAGTTGCTCCTTCAGAGCTGCATTTTTAAGAACTGTTGTCTTTTCTAGAATTACTGCATTTTAACTACTGTACCTGGAGATATATTTTGTAAAAGCGTTTGCCTATATTAAGTTAATTCTCCTATCCTGCAGTTTTATCCAGCTAAACAGCTTGACTCTCGTTTGACACATCTGTTAAGTGCCACTGAAAGCAGTGAAAATTGAGCCCTATTAAAACATATACTTTCTGTCATCAAGAATTGATGAGCCACATTTTTATTTTCCTGTCGTTGCGAAACCTTTAATATGGCGTCTC